ATGGTGGCGTATGCCTGTAATCCCAGCTACTCAGGAGGCTGAGGCAGGAGAATTGCCTGAACCCAGGAGGCGGAGGTTGCGGTGAGCCGAGATCGCGCCATTGCACTCTAGCCTGGGTAACAAGAACGAAACTCTGTCTCAAAAAAAAATATATATATATATATATATATAATTAAAAAAGAGAGAGACATGGGGTGAGCTGGGCATGGTGGCTCACACCTGTAATCCCAACACTTTGGGAGGCCAAGGCAAGAATATCACTTGAATCTAGGAGTTTGAGACCAGCCTGGGCGACACAGTGAGACTACATCTCTACAAAAATTAATTAGCTGTGTGTGGTGGCGTGTGCTCATAGTGCCAGCTGCTCGGGAGGCTAAGCTGGGAGGATCACTTGAGCCTGGGAGGTTGAGGCTGCAGTGAGCCATGCCACTGTACTCTGGCTTGGATGTTAAGAGTGAGACCCTGTTTAAAAAAAAGAGAGCGATTGGTGGGGGGGCGGGGGGTCTTGATATGTTGCCCAGGCTGGTCTCGAACTCATGGCCTTGAGGCATCCTCCCACCTCAGCCTCCTGAGTAGCTGGGATTTACAGGCATGAACCACTGCACCCAGCTCTGAAACCCTATTTGTGACAGGCATTGGGTTTATTTCCGTGTTCTTTTTTCACCATAAAGAGTGTTGTGATAAATGCCTTTCCCATTCACTTACACCTTCCCTCAACAGAGCCCTGCCCCTCCATCCTACCACTCTGCTTCCAAAGAAACATGATGGAATGAAATCACAGGAGAGTCCGGAAATCAAGTCAGGGATCCCTGGGAAATTCAGTTTCACCATTGGAATGAATTATTTTGTTGTCATTTTTCAATATTCACATATTAAAATTGTAAAAATTATTTTTAAAACCTCTTCCTGTAAGGCTATATTAGACAAAACAAACTAATGAAAGGGTTGTTAGCTGGGCACTGTGGTTCACACCTATAATCCCAGCAGTTTGGGAGGCCGAGGGGGGCAGATCACTTGAGGCCAGGAGTTAGAGACCAGCCTGGTCAACGTGGGAACCTCTGCCTCCTGGCTCAAGTGATTCTTGTGCCGTAGCCTCCCAAGTAGCTGGGACTACAATCGTGCACTACCACGCCTGGCTAATTTTTGTGTTTTTTAGTAGAGATGGTTTCGCCATGTTGGCCAGGCTGGTCTTGAACTCTTGACCTCAACTGATCACCCACCTCGGCCTCCCAAAGTCCTGGGATTACAGGCATGAGCCACTGCACCCAACCTGTTTCAATTGTTTTAACATTTGTGTGCTGTCATTAGATTAAAAATGGCTTTTGTTTTTGTTTTTGAGATTAAGTTTTGCTCTTGTTGCCCAGGCTGCAGTGCAGTGGCATGACCTCGGCTCACTGCAACCTCCACCTCCTGAGTTCAAGCAATTCTCCCGCCTCAGCCTCCTGAGTAGCTGGGATTACAGGCGCCCACCACACCCAGCTAATTTTTTATATTTTTAGTAGAGACAAGGTTTCACCATGTTGGCCAGGCTGGTCTTGGACTCCTGACCTCAGGTGATCTGTCCACCACGGCCTCCCAAAGTGCTGGGATTAAAGGCATGAGCCACTGTGCCTGGCCTAAAAATGGGATTTGAACAACAATCTGATGAAAGAAGGCATTTTCAGTTGAGAGCTTGGAGAGGAAGGGGCACATTTATCTGTGTGAATGGCAGGTCAGTGTGTTGGGGAAAGGAGGGTCTCAGGCCTGGGGGTATCAAGTAGAGATTGTGAATGACTTTGGTTACAATCATGACACCTAGAAAAAAAGCTCAAAGCCATGGGTGGCCACAAGCCCCATTCACTCTAACAGGATCCAGGGCTATTTTACTGTCAGAGTGATGTTGAAGGTCCCAGTCAAATGAACAACAAAACCAGATTTGGACAGAAAAGACAGGTAAGCCTGAGTTGTTTGAAGATGATACTCATCACAACAGTGACTGTGATGGTGGAAGAAACAGGCAGGGGCTGTCTTTTTTCCAGACTGGTCCTTCCTTTATGCATTCCCTGCCTATCTGGCTCCCAGAGTTTAGAAATGCAAAGGAAAGGCTGGGTGCGGTACTTCACACCTGTAATCCCAACATTTTGGGAGGCTGAGGCAGGAGGACTGCTTGAGCCGCAGTTTGAGATCTGCCTGACAACATGGGGAGACCCCGTCTCTACAAAATATTAAAAAATTAACCAGGCATAATGGTGCACACCTGTAGTCCCAGCTACTCAGGAGGCTCAGGTGGGAGGATCACTTGAGCCTGCAAAGTTGAGGCTGCAGTGAACCATGATCACACCACTGCACTCCAGTCTTGGCAACAGAGTGAGACCCTGTCTCAAAAAAAAAAAAAAAAAACAACACACGGTTGACCACATTGGCTTTGTCTGCTTTTCACTGCTACCACAGGCTGAAATAAAACCTCAAGTTGGGCCCCATCTTCAGGGGACAAAGTAGAGCATGAATTGAGGGAAAGTGTAGGTGGTTCACGGGACAGGTGTGCTGAGAATCAAGGCCAGAGAGAGAAACGGGAGGAGCCACGGAGCTGAGGTGTAATTGGAGTGAAGACAAGGAATCCACGTTCACTTATCTCATCCCTGAAGTTTCTTCCTAAATGGGGCGAGTGGGGGTTGGGATATGAGGTCATAACTTTCATCATTTCCTGATGGGAACACATTTGCCTCTGAAGCCAAAGTTCTCACAACCCCCAAATGGGGGTTGGAGACAACTCTCTATGGCCTAAGTCAGAAACAAGATTTCTGCCGTTGGAAAACACCTCAACAGAGCACTGAGTGGCCCCCAGCTCATTGAACTAGCAAGCCAGCCTTCTGACAGATACTGCTTCAGCGTCTGGAGCTACCATTCTAACTGCCAAGATCAACAGTAAGAAAATAATGTAAGAAATTGGTAAACTTGCTGTAAATGAAACAGTAGTTTGGGCAGGCTTGGCAGCTCACACCTATAATTCCAGCACTTTGGGAGGCCAAGGCAGGGGGATCACCTGAGGCCAGGAGTTTGAGACCAGTCTGGCCAACATGGTGAAACCCCGTCTCTACTAAAAGTAGAAAAATTAGCCAGGCATGGGGGCCAGTGCCTGTTATCCCAGCTGCTGAGGAGGCTGAGGCAGGAGAATCGCATGAACCTGGGAGG